TTTGGTCATCTATGTAAACAAATATTTCCATCTATTTAATATAGTTGTTCAAAATAAGTTAAGAAATCATTCAAATGTCAGTAAAATAAAAAAAATAAAAACAGTTTAAAAGGGGAGTGATTAGTAAAATATGCATAAATAAAAAGAAAGAATGCAGACTAGGTAAGTTTAAGATAGGAGAGAGGAGTATATCAATTATGTGTTATTGATTGTGAGCATATTCTAATGGTTTTTGGAGTATTGCAATATATACAGTTCTGTTTCATATGAGTGTTGAAAGCTGTATCCATAAATAAAGTGCACCAGATTGATGCATTTAACTTCAATTTAAAGACAAAAATCTTCTCCTCATTATATACACTACACATTTTCCTTGGATTTGTTAACACCATAGTCCCTAATATATTTGTAGAAAGGCAGGAAATTGAATTAAATCGAGAACAATTTTTCATTGCGAAGGACCCCCTATTTTGTGTCCCCCCCACTTCTCAAACCAAAGTTACACCCTTGCGTGTGCGCACTCCTGCATGTGTGAATGTGTATGTTGGGGCAGCGGTGTTACAGAGAGATATGTTCCTGGGCCATTAAGAGCAATCAAAGGGTTTGTGAATGTACTGATTACTGCAATCCAACCTAAATGTGTAAACATCATGTTTTTCTTTCTTTCTTTTCTCACTTTGCATACAGAATTCATGCTGTATTTCCACAAAACTATACCCACCAACCAGGGATACATCACTCCCTGCTGGTCATTTAATTTATTGCGTGCAGTCACTTTGTTGGTTGTTAACCTTGAAGGAAATCTGCATTGCGCTAAAAAGAATGCTGCACTTTCTTCTTTGTCTGATGACATTAAGCGTGCCAGGTAGACACCATATTGTTCTGCTTATCAAGCCTTATCTGTTTACATTCATGTCCAGAGTCATCTGAATGTTTCCCAGTACTTTGTTGCTCCTTATCCGACAGCTGTTATTGCTTTCCTGCCATCGTAATGTATTGGGTCAAGTACATTGTTATCTGAAGAGTCTCAGATAAACACAGACATTTAAAAACAATTCAAGCTGATTTATTGTTGCGATAAAGATTTTATTTACTGCTGATGGGAAGCACTTCTACTGCCTCATATGTCATGTGGCCAGATATAATTATAATACTATGATAAAAAGATGGAGATTAATAATAACTGTATTTACTCAGACACATCCATGTCAGTTTTTTTGTCTTTTGTTTAAAGTCCTAATAGTACAATCTGTCAACAACTTATCTTGGCAATTGTTCCCATCAGCCATGCCTATTGCTTTATAAGTAGACAGCCTAAGCAGTGGGCCTGTAAGTGATGATTGGTAGATTTGCAGGGTCAAAATTCGTTTAAAAAAAGGAATATAGGGTCAACGCCCTTCTTACCACGAGGTCAACAAGCAGCATCAGCCAGAGTTAACTAGCGTTAAACAGGACTGTCATCAAATCCAGGGCAGAGGTCTGACCCTAAACAAACTAGGGTCATGGACTCTGAGTCTAGAATTACCACAGGTATGTTCTCAGGGATAAGGTTTTAAAAAGTGAAGGAGTGTAACCAGCAGGGGGAGCAGGTTTTAAATATGTTTGTTTTCAGTTTCCCCAGGACACTATTTTATATCTAACATTATATAATGACAGATACTAATGAGTATATAGTATTGCATGACCACTGTAATACTATGACCACTCATAGAACACCTTCACAGTATTGTATTACCTGCAGCTTGGGGATAGAGTACACTTCAACATGACTTCAACTTTAACTGTGGGGCTAAAGCAATGTCCAGACATTAACCAGCTCAAGGTACAGGGATGGGGAAGGTGTTTGACTATGTGTATGTGTATAGTATGTAGGTGTGTATATGTATGTGTGCATATATGTATACCAGTGTATGTATGTGTATGTATATGTATATATGTCAATCAACAGGTAAAGCAGATTAATAATACTAATAATATCAACACTAATGCATAAAAATGATAATTATTGCAGATGGAGAGGGGGTGAGATTAAATAAATTATACTTCTTCTCACTCCTTTTCGAACACTAGATGTGGCACTGTTTATACAACAACAAAAGCATTAGCAACATAAACAGTGCCACATCTAGTGTTCGAAAAGGAGTGAGAAGAAGTATAATTTATTTAATCTCACCCCCTCTCCATCTGCAATAATTATCATTTTTATGCANTTTTATTAGAGATCTGTCTGTTGTTTGTTCTTAGTGTCAGGATGGATCCCTTGTCTCTTTCTCTGCAAACAAAATCTACCTACGGGTACAAATAAATAACCGGAACCTGGTCACAGCAATGTTTTGTATTGCAGAGCCGTTTGAAAGGAACAACGTGGCCAGGGCAGTCCATGAGAAGATCAAGTTTGACGCCATCAAAGCGGAGTTTGCTGTGGTCAGTCTTAAGAACTACGCTGTATTTTCTCCTCTTTACTCTAAGCTGCCTCTGGGCCAGCCATGAGTTATTCATAATCCTCTGCTTCTCATCTGTGTGTCTGCGCAGTCATACCGGATACTAGAGGACGTGCAGGACCTGAACTCCGTCCTCCCAGTCAGAGAAATCATTAAAAAGGAGTCCTCCAGGAGATAAGGTGTTCCTCTCATTCGACGAGCGGACAGGAGTCTTCTACCTCAAGAGAGGCCTGTCCCCGGAAAGAGAAACCCATTTGGATGTGCTCACAGCCAGGAAAAAAAAAGACTGAATGCTCTCGCTGCGTTGATATGGGTTAACCACATAGGGTTTTTCCAGTGGCAGTACATGTACTTGGAAATACTGGGCTCACTTTCAAATGCTTCTATAACTTCAAATAATTGAAACTAAATGTAAAAATATATTATTTCTGAAGTGACACCAGAGGGCTCTGAAATTCTAATTTGGTTACAGTGGGAGGCTGCACTGAAGCAGGATAATAATGGTCAGTGTTATTAAGCATGGTTATAGCTGCTACATAACACTCTTCACCAACTCGATTGGCATTACTGGAAAGTAGTTAGGAATATAGAAAAAGGATGAAAATACTTCCTGCAATCTGTTAGAATCTGAAGTCTTATTAAATGGATGCGGCAACGTTTTGTTTCAACTGTTCTGGACCAGGTTCATCTCAGTTACATTTGTATCCACATTGTTGGAGCCATAGTATTAAAGAAAGTGCCAATCATTTGCTTTTGCATCATATGTACAGTATGTAGTCTACAGCCGGTATGGACCAACTTGTAATATCAGAACCTTTCGTTCTATTTTTATAGGTCAGTGGTGAAGTTATCGTGGGTTTAAACATCCATAGATATTGTTTTCTACATCTATCCTCTCCTTTTTCCATAATTCATCATCTTTAAGTTGCTAAAATGAGCTTGTTTAAGTTGGTGTTATATTATAAGTGACTCTGGGAATCATTAGAGGGCTGCGGGGGGCCACACTCTGGATGTTGACACTTCATTGCTCCTGATGAGCTGTATTCATTTCCCTTGATAGACCTATGCTGTGTCATTTGAGTTCATCTACCTGATTTGGAAAAAAAATCCTGCTATTCATTCATTATTCTGTTCATGCAATACATAAGTTATTTAAAGAATCTACACTTTGATGTGACTTTTTTTTTCTTCTTCTCCAGATTATATTTTCTCTTTTTGTACATTTTGTTCAAAGCTGAACTTTTAAATGTTTATTAAAAAAAATTAATATCTGAGGATGACGTGTGTCTATTTCATATTTTTGAGCTTGATGTTAAGCACGTTGAATTATTTGCTACAGATAAGTTGGAGCTGATAGAAGTTCAAAAATAAATAGTACAGAATTATATTTGATCACCTTGAAATAAGAATCAGGATTAGAGATGTTCTCCTCAGAAACGATGTTTAAAGGGGCCCTATTGTGATTTGGGGGTTTTCCCTTTCCTGTAGTGCGTTACTTATAAAGGTTGTTGTGCATGTCAAAGACTAAAATCCCAAAGATAACGAAAGAGGGAGGTTCTCTCCCAAAGTCTTTATTAGGCTCCTTTCTTTATTTCTGAGACAGTGACATCACTACGTAACACTCACACTTCTATTGGCTAGCACTCCAACACCTTGTATGTGATAGAATAAGGGGCGGGACATCTCTAAGCGATTGACAGGGCCAGCTGTGCTGCAGCACAGGCAGTATGAGAAAAGTAAAGCACTTTTTGAACATTAAAGCATGTAAACAAAATACAAATACGAACCTGAAAATGAGCAGAATAGGGCCCCTTTAACCTGAAACATATATCAACCATAAGCACAATTACCCTCCCGTTCACCTGATATTTCATGTAATTTTGTTTCCTTGAGGTAATGCCGACTAGACCATCATTCTGAAGGCATTTAGGATGATGTTTTATGTGCTGATTCATAGGCCTTGGCTCCTGAATATCCACATTCTAAGTTAAAAGGTTCTCTGACGCCTCCTCTGGCAGCTCGTGCACAAGTTCGTTTTTGTTGTGTGGTTTGACACCTTATTAGACTTGTTTTATGGTTTTTGTATAGTGCCAGCGCTGGTAGGGGGTAGATAACTCACCCGATGCATGTGTGTGTGTCAGTGTGTGTGTGCATGTCTCTGTTTAGTGTTGCCACCGGCAGCAGGGGGACCAGGGGGATACTGTTTCAGCACACGGCCTATATTTAACTCTGCGAGGGGATTTTGCTCTTAAAGTCCCACTGGTTAATTCATCTTGCACTGACCAAAATACTGAGGATTTCCCCAAATGCATAAGAATCTTTTCACGGCAACTTCGTCACCTAACTTCTTTTGTTAATTTCACTAACAACAAACTCTCAGACCCAGTGAGACCCACCCTCTCTCGCTGCTCTCCTCTCTAGCTCCACACCCCTCTTCTCGTTCCTCTCTCAGCCTATTTTTGTCCCGGGCTGAGTCAGATGGACTGCTCCCAACTTAGAATGACACAAACAGGCAGACCAACTCCTCCGAAATCAGGGTGGCTGAAAACTCCAAAGGGACTCTGAAATTCACTGAAAAAACCACCGTGGGGGCTACAAAGGGAAGAGCTGGAGGATATTACCAAGATGGAGGAGTGTGAGAGCCTGGACTCGGAGATGACCGAGCTGCAGGAGGTTCAGAGCGAAGCTTCGGAGGCCCTCAGCCAGGACGATGAAGACGAGGAGGAGGAACTGCGGAACAGGTGCTTTACACATCTTACAAGCTGAAATACCTCAATTGTCACTCACTTTATCTTTGTGAGAACTGGTGTCTTTTTTGCTGAGAGATCCTATCAAAAAATATGGAATGAAGGCTATAAGAAACCACTTCTTTCAGGGCTTCTTAGCTCCAAAAAATGTGTCAGTCTGAAGAGCGTATTTAGTGCCTAGTACGGTGGCCCTGAAGTGCAAGACACCACAGCATTTCACAAAACACAACAGCATTTCACAAAACGCCACAGCATTTCACAAAACGCCACAACATTTCAGAAAATATGGAGCTATTTCAGGGTCATAAGTTTTGATCATTCAAAAAAAATACAATTTATTTGAAAGTTCAAGTTTTTATCCTGAACTTTGAAAAATACAATGATGTATTCAAAATAATAAAAAATATTTGAAATAATTTTTCAGGTTGAATATTATTTTTGATTCAGTTCAGCAATTATTTTGAATAATATATTTATTTTCAGATTTCACTTTTATACATATTTTGATATTTGAATCCTTGTTTTTTTCAGTTGCAGATTTTTCATTTTCAGATTCAAAAAACAAATTTTTTTTCAGTTTCAAATCTTGTTTTTTCAGGTTTCACATTGCTTTTCACTTTCAGATCTTTTTTTTTCGCTTTCAGATCTTTTTTTTTCGCTTTCAAACTTTTGGCCCTGATATTGCTTGGGGGGCGGGGCTTACCAAAGAGTAGTTTGGCATCCTGAGTGACAGGCCTCCCTCTGTCATGTTGCCTTCATGGATGTTAGAAAACTGAGACCAGCGTCAAAGTTCCGTTAAGCGAGCTGTTGAGCATCGTAGTTGGCAACAATCAAGTACAAATAAACTGTGTTTAGAATGTGAAATTACGTATCCGCAACGAGCCAGCAGGTTGTTCTGGTGGACCTGACGCCATCCCCCGCTGTCTCACGGAGAGATACCGAAGGTCATTCCTTCCTGCAGCGGCCAGACTATACAACCAGCATCAGCACAGACCCTAGTAGAACCCGTACAAAACAACACAGACTATAACACCTCTTTTTGATAAATACCAACTATGTGCAATATTTGCAGTATGTGCAATATATATATGCCGTTAAAAACTGTGCAATATATACCTGGCTGCTAAATCCGCAGAACTGTCACAGGGTGTGTATTATGTAAAATGTGTAACTTTAAAAATATATATAATTAATTTTTTTAATCTTTAATACTTTTTGTATGCATGCTTTAGGTAACATTAAGCTGTCTTTGGCTCTTGTCTGCTGTAACAATGTAAATGTATCCCCTGTGGGACTAATAAAGGTATTCTGATTCTGATCGCAAAAACCAAGCCAATGCTATGCTGCGTTCATGGAGCTACGTGGAAGTGGGGAAGGACAACGCTTGATTGCGGATAAGTGATTTCAGATTCTAGCACAGTTTATTGCTCTTATACCTTGATTGTTGCCAACTACGATGCTCAACAGCTCGCTTAACGGAACTTTGATGCTGGTATCAGTTTTGTTTACCACCAATCACGGGAGTATTGTGTATAGAAAGTGTGTAGTTGTATTTCTTGTGCTACCTAACATCCATGAAGGCATCATGACAGAGGGAGGGCTGTCACTCATGCTGTCACTCAGGTGCCAAACTACTCTTTGGTAAGCCCCGCCCCCCGAAGCAATATCAGGGTCAAAAGTCTGAAAGCGAAAAAAAAAGATCTGAAAGCGGAAAAAAAAGATCTGAAAGTGAAAAACGATCTGAAGGCGAAAAAAAGATTGAAACCTGAAAAAAAAAGATTTGAAACTGAAAAAATAATTGTTTTGAATCTGAAAACGTAAAATCTGAAACTGAAAAAAACAAGTATTCAAATATCAAAATATGTATAAAAGTGAAATATGAACATAAATATTTTCTTAAAAAAAATGCTGAACTGAATCAAAATAATATTCAACCTGAAAAATTATTTCAAATACTTGTTTTTGTTTTGAATACAACATTGTATTTTTCAAAGTTCAGGATGAAAACTTGGACTTTCAAATAAATTTGTATTTTTTTGAATGATCAAAACTTATGACCCTGAAATAGCTCCATACTCCCCCGGCCCTGGCGCGAGCGTTGAAATATGATTGGCGACGATTTCATTTGAACGGGACGGCGCAAAACGAGAAGCATCCGGACCCAAGTATGTAGAAGGAAGGAACGAGGTATTTGGGGTATACAATGACAGAGAAGAGACTGTCAAGTTTGGCTGTACTCATTGAATCAAAACGCACTAAAGCTTTGGATCTTAATCAGTTTGTGAGGCGTTTTGCTGAACAAAATGTTAATCGCAGCATGTAGTTAACATTGATTGATATGACTGCAATTAAATCAGCAAATACTTCTGCCAGGGGATGCCACCCCTCAAAATCTCCTGCCACCCTCTTGCCACCCCATGAATATTTGTCTAGATCCGCCCCTGATTAATGAACTAAATAAATCCGTCAGTGACAGAGGATCTATTCTGGTCAATATTAGCAGGAATTGGCTCTGGAGATACTTTTATGCTTTTATCCCATGGCAATACTAATGCTGAGGTACAATGTTGTATAATGTTTTTATAATTTTTACGCTATGACGTTTGTATTTTGTTTTTGTCTTTGCTTTTGTTTGCTTTGTATAACCCTTTGAGGCATTTCTTGTGATTTGGGGCTATAATACAATTTGATTTGATTTGATGGATAACAAGCTAACGCTGCTTTTGATGATCGATGGTCATCATTATACACCTCTCTCCATAAGAATAACTTTAATTTAAACAGCTATGGATTACAATGCCTATGTGGCCTTTTGACTGATGCAAATCAATAAATATTTCAGGTTCACCTTGTGCCTTTAAAGGACCTGCCTTGTGATTTTTCTGTATGTTATCGTCAATAGTGCCAAAACAAACAATGATCTGTATTCTTGAATCAAATACACTGTTTTCTCTTCTGTGATCTATTTCTTACCAGTTAAGTGTTGCTGTCTGCATCGGTTTCTTTGCGGCGTGGAGTCCGTATGCTGTGGTATCCATGTGGGCTGCCTTTGGGCACGTTGAGAACATCCCTCCTCTGGCATTTGCTTTACCGGCAATGTTTGCCAAGTCGTCCACCATCTACAACCCAATCATCTACCTAATGCTGAGGCCGAACATTCGCAAGGTGATACGCAAGGACCTTAGTACTCTATGCCACGTCTTTCTGAATTGCTGTCAATGCACGAAGGGGTCAGCAAATTGCTGCCCCAAGACAGAGATCAGGGTCCGAATTTGCTCATTGCACAGACAGACAAACCCATTCCCTTCATCCAACTACTCTGCTCAACCTCCTATAGAAACAATAAAGTGCAATGATGCTTTTGAATGCTTCAGACACTACCCTCAAATCTGCAGCGTCCCTAACCCTGCCATTGACGACCCGTCTAAAGTTCTAGACAATCCAATTCCCCAAACACAAAGGCAGAAGAATCTAAATGTGTGCCACAAAAAGTCTCTGCTGGCCATCATGTGTGCAAAAAGGACTTCAGAAATAGACAACTTTCACATTAATTTGGAGATGGTTCCAGGCCATGCAAAAGTCGCCTGGCCTTGATACTTATCTCAATTTACAATGTTTACAGAATATCTCTGGACTTAATTTGCAGGTTATGTTCTTTAAGATGTGGCATTAATTAATGTATATATTTCAGGAAATCTTGTTCAGCGACGTACCGTATGCTCCTTAAGTGTTTTGGCACACGCCATGTAGCTATTTTTATCTTTTGTCACCCACTATGTTTGGCTATTTGGTTAATATGACAGAATAGCATTTAAGGCTTAATGCAAACCGCATTTAATAATTTAAAGTGAATGTAATTTGCAAAAAGTTGTCAAAAAGTGCCCGGTTTGTCATAGGGATGCCAGAAACTGACCATGATCAAATTCGAAAATCGGACAGCCCTGGCGAATATTAATCGATTATTCAGTATTATACAGTAAAACAAACTGGTGGTGTGACCAATGGCCCTTTACAATTATTAATACTATTATTAGCATTAGTCTATATTTTGGTTGAAACTAAGTCAGGAAAAAAAAGAAAAACATAAATAATAATAAAAAAATATATAAATAAAATCGAATTTAAAAAAAAGAAATTCGATTATGGAGACTGTAACGAATATTTGAAAAATCGAATAATCGCTGGCATCCCTAGTTTGTAGCTTTTTTTCAGATTTAAATAACATCTAAAAAATTCTCCAAAACCCTAGGGGAGATTTAAGGTGTTGAGGAATTGTACTTTTAAATCAATATTTGACTACCTAACACATTCCTTGTAGCACTACTGGCCGCATCCTCTATCTGGATCTACCGTATCTGAGTATTACTTTAAAAAAGCTCGATTTTTGTGAAGTTTTCTTATTGTACTCTATTGTTTGCATAAGCTTGGTCAAGTTGGACGGAGGGCAAGTTTCAACATAATTTGAAGCATACTGTTTAAACTTTGAGAGTTAATGAAGCTCCTTGATTTTAATGATGTTTTCTATGGTCAAATGGTTGAATCTGTAAAAAAAATCATTTTAAGATAATATTAATTATGAGCCTGCAACAAAACAAAGATAATCTCATCTCTTTGATCAGGACTGTATGGATGTGGTTTGACTGACTGCGATAAAACAATGTATTTTATCAGACTATGGTCCAAATATTTCTAAATCCATATTGGTGCAAACATCAATAATCAATTGAAATAATCAACACTGATTTAACTTTAACAATAATGACAAATGTAATGTTCGTGGGATAAAATGCAAAAATAGGTTATGTTGCAGAAAGCATTGCCCATTCCTGACTGCTCACGACAAAGTATTAGTATATTGGATAAGTACAACACATGATAAATGTATGATTTAACTATGGATCCTATCGCTTACATTCATATCAAAGCTAACGTTTAAAGACATGTAGATTAGTAAATACTTGTAGACCTTATTAAGGGCTTGATATTTAGTAATCTGCTATTCGCATTATCTTAGTAAAGCCTGGGTTAAACCTCAGGCAGTTGACTGGTCACTGCGGGTGTATGCTGATGATACAACTAATATCTGTTATTCATATCGTTCTACACTTTGATACCATGAGTCTCACTGTTCTACCCAGATTTGTCCTGGATGATGGCTTTGCAGGAGAACAAAAATAGTATTGTTTTCATGTGACAACTGCAGGTTTACAGTTTATGGTGCTTGATCAATTATCTATGTACACACTGTAAAACTAAATGTGGCAACATAATACTATTGTTATGGTTCTGCACATGAATGTCTATCTATCTGTATTATGTGAACCTCAAGTCATTATTTTTGTATACAATGAAAATGGGATGTCTATAGTTGATTTGTATAACATGTTTGTCACTACAATAGAGGGAAATGGAAGAAACACACATGAAACAAACAATCAATGCAATCCAATATGTAGCTGCAGATACGTACATGTATTAGAGGAGAAAGATTATCAAGGTCATGTTGTTTGTAATATTTGTTGTTTGTAAATCCATTGTAAAGTTAACATGACTGGAATTGGATTCAGGCATTCACTCAGGACCAAATATGAGACACATCAAACTTTAGTTTTTTAGACACTCACTGAATTATTACCCTCAAATTATCCCGTGGACCTACTGCTACTTCATCTATTCCAAATAGAATCTTAAGCCATGTCCTAATTGTCATGTAAAAGATGTTGCAGATGCAAGGCATGCTGTTTTAACAAACGTTTTTAAATCGTTATTTCAATCAACAGGGTGCCATTTTAATATCATGCCTCAATCTGATAGAACCTGGATGTAATTACTGTTAAGAAGCTAGAAAGCCTGCTCACATTTGTATACCAGGACATTATCAATAGTCATTCATGGGTTGAAAGTAATCATTGTTATAGTGTTTAGTGGAGATAATATTAAACCTACCTATAGGGAACGAGAACAGCAGTGGCTATCACTGTAGCTCATCATCAGATCATCATCATCTGTAATCCCTTTCATGGAAGTTCAAACTGTATTTTTAATGAAAACAGAGAGAAAATTAGTCTTCCTGTCAGGTGCATTTGGGGATGAAAAAATAATATAATCCACTGTTTATTCGTCTAATGCTCAGGAAAAATATCTGCATACTACAACACACTGCCATGCCATGCAGAGCCCTCTAGAGTCTAATGTGGGGTTTTAATGTTATCATAGTCTATATCGGATAAAAAATACATTATTATTGGCATTATTTTAAATTTCGACTTGTTCAGTTGTGATATTTAGTGTGTTCCAATCCAATACTCTATACTGCATAGAGTAAATACTTAATATTTTTGCATATTGTCTTTGCAGTTAGCATATGTGCATCCACATACAGTACTTAGCTGTTTGTTCAATCAAACAGGAACATTTAATAGTCTGCAATCTAAACTTCTAAATACATCATGACAGATAATTTAAAAGTAATTTACTTTGAAGTTCAGTTTTTTTGAAAGCTTTTCACAAAACAGTTTGTTAAATGTTTCAGTCCCACTCTGAACACTTTTCCTCTCATGTTGTGCATGGTATCGTGGAATAAAAGTGTCAATCAAGAGAAAAGTAAAAAACAAACACATTTTTGAATAAGTATATGGAAAGAATTCTCAGCACTCCCTTAGATTAAGGACGACGTGTGAAATTGGGATACAGATACTATATATACTTGTAGTCTAAAGTCATTCGTTTAGAAGTGACAGCTCTGTTGATGTTTTCATTATATTGATATCAATTTAAGAGTTGCAGGGGATAAGCAGTTATATTTAAAGGAAAAACTAAAAGTAAAACCATCTGAAAGTGTGTACTGTAGTTCCATCCATGTAACACATGAAATGTATTTACTTTGGGATTTTATAAACATTTGTTCAGTTTATTTAGAATATCGAAATGGCTTTTAAAATACAACTGGTTTTGGGTCGAACTTGTTGAAGAAGAACAAAGTGAAGACATTTTTTTTGTTACAACATTTTGTAATGAAAAAGAACAAAACATCAAATCTTATAATTGAAAATGCTATACAGTACATCACAGCAGCGTATCAGTTTGAAGACAATCTGATATCATGAGAGTAAATCCACACACTGATCATTCAAAGGAATAGCTCAATGCTAATTAATGCACCTTTACTGTGATTTGGGGAAATGTAAGAAGATAATCTACAGCAGGTCTCAAGCTGAAGGAGACAGACTTTATGTTACTCATCTCATGAGTGTCTACTGATTCCCACTGGACACATGGATGACAACAAAAATGCAAATGTATTTGTGGACTTGTTCTGTCTTTCTGTGAATACATACCGTGTGTTTTCAGCTTCTTACATTCTTACAGAGTAGCTGACCCTGCCTGTTCTGTGATTGAAGTCTTTCTGTTTGTGTTGGGATGGAATAAATGTTTACCACACACCATTTGATTGTCCCTAAATATGAGTTAATATTCAGTTAAAGCTACAGTAACCTTGCACAAAATAAAAACAATCATAATCGACATTTTATATAAAAAATATTACTTTTGTAATAACTCTTGCTTAGACTTGTCTGATGTGTCAGCTGTAACACATTGTTTGCAATATGCATAATATACTAATCATTCAGGCTATTATTGCTTTTAAAACAGATTTTGAAATGTTACATTAAGAAAACCCTGACATCTTCTTGCTATAAAAAGTTATAGTCATTTAAAAACGTTCACAATAAAAGTCAAGTCCGGGTAACAATTTCTCAAAATAAGTGAGTACCAGAAAGTGAGAACGGTTCACAGGGAGCTGTGAGGATTTTAAAAAAGTAACAAAGGAAACGTTTCAGTGAAGAAGTCAAGTGAGCTCTTCGGTTTTCAGTATGCCATTTTCAATGCTTTGAGCAAGACACATGTTGCGAGAGAGAAGGTATTTAAAATGTGTCCCATAAATCCGAAAATAGTATACTTTTTGGTTGAGAGAGCCTTTAAATGTTGCAAACGGTTAAAAAAATGTGATCATCATGAGCAGATGGTCCTTTACCCGGAATGAGGTAGAAAGTTTATCAGATCTAGGAGGAAGAACTGCAGGAGTCCAATATTTTCTGGATGACATCTATCTTTATGAGACCATCCAGAGCACGACAAAGCTTCCCAATAGTGCAGCCAATACTTCCCTCCTTCATTTTCCACCGATCCAGCATCTGATGCACCATCTCGGGGAGGCCGTCACGGAAACAGTCGTGCTCAATGGTCTCTATTTCCACACTGCTCAGACCCAGTCGCCGTGCACATCCCTTCCATTTTTTACCGATGTTGTCCCTCAGTATGTCCAGGTGACCTTCGGTCACGGCATAGTCCTCTGAAGGACAGAAAATAAACATATTTAAGGACGACTTCATTCAACACTAATGATAACTTGTTTTAAGTTTACCTCTGAATTTTTTATAATGAAATACCTTTGCTTTGGACTATTAGAAAACTGTTGTTCTCATCTGATCTCACATGCAAAAAATTGCATACTTCATTGTTAACTTCACCATTTTACTGCTTTTGACTAACTACTAGAGACGGGAAAGATAACTGGATTAATTGTTTAGTTGATCGCCAAGAATGGTTTGGCAACTATTTTGAAAATTAGTTTTAGTTATTTTCCATTTATGACAGAATGTCTGCTTTTCATGTTTGTATATAATAGCAATTCCTTTGGACACTTGTTCAGAATGAAAACAAGACATTTAAAAGATTCCATCTTAGGATCTGGAAATGTTGACATTTGACAGCAAAACCATAATATTCAATTCATTTTGATTGCAGCCCCAATTAGTATCCTATTTGCAAAATAAACAGTAAACATATAGACAAACTATCATTTGTGTTACATTAAAGGAAAATTCCCATGGTTTACCATATTTGAAAATGCCTTCTTTGATGGGAGAGTGTGCTGAGGCATTCGAAGGCAGAGACATCAAACTATTGGAGGCCTCGTGACCTCTGATACTCATCAAGTTGTTGCTCCCAATCTGGATCCCGCTTGCATTCTGAATGAAAAGAGATCCTGAAACAAGCACAAGGCAAAACACATTAACACAGTCTCTCCAACATGTCAGTCAAAGCTGGCAGAGCTGTGAAAACCACAGGCATCTAGAGCAAGAAGAAACACTTTATCAAAAAGACATGTCTGTTTGTACCTGGATCTTGTGGTAAGTAGCTCTTTGAGGGTGCTAGGAGACGCCCGGGCTTGATATCAGGAGCAGACGTATCAGACACTGGGTAAACTGGGCAGGACTGCTGGCGGTCATAGTGGGAGTGTGGATGTTGCTGGTTATATTGTGATAGAGAAGGGCTGCTGGCAGACAGTGGAAAGTGGCATGGAGAAGGTATGGAGGAGTTCATGGAATTATAGGGACCAGCAGTAGGGCGATACGCCTCCTCCTGGCTGGTGGGCTGCACTGGCTCAGCTTTTGTCCACGATTGGACAGAGGATGCACCAGAGGGTTTGTCTGGTTCTGGTTGCTGGATAGCTTGATCTGAATTGCTGAAGTGGTTTTGCAGGAAAGGATTTGGGTTGCCTTGATAGATTTCAAGCTGGTTGTAGCTGCCATGTTTGTGGTACTGAAGCTCCCGAGCCAGCTTCTCCTCCAAAGCTGAAGGGCTTCTGAATGCCTTTGCGTCTGTCTGAAGAGGTTGCACATATTGGATGTCATGCATGTCCTCAATGCTGGCTTCAACTGGCCCAGGTACACTTCTGTCTGAACTCATCAAGGGAGCTGGGCAATCTGCAAGGTGAGGAGAGATGTTAAAGCGATAAATCTACTTGATCCCACAATGTTTCTAGCTTTCTGAGCGTCCATCAGCTCATCAAGATTGCCAACAGTACTCACCTGGCAAAAAACATTCCTGGGTCATTGACAGAGTTTTCATCTTCTCAACAAGTTCCTCTGGGCCTTCATATAATTTCTGCATAAAAATCACTCAGAAATGTTATCGATATTGCCTTGTTTTTTACTTCACTTATTTTAATTTCACTGTGTACAGAGGATGAGATTGTTACAATAAATCATTAACATATATATATTTACCCTCAGCTCCTGTAAATCTTCCTCTACAAGAGGTTCAAGCTTTTCAATGTAGAAAGGCAGCAGGAAGTCATGTCCCTCTACAAAAAAAGGAAAAGATAGGAGAATGATTTTCATTCAACAACATAATGATATCAGTGTTTAAACATATATTCAAATTAAGCCTTGGATTGTAAAAAAAAAAAAAACAACAGCAATGAATGATTTTAATGTTATTTTCTTTGCGTCTGAACACATGAGACTGTCATTTTCCACTGAGCCACCTTAGACCGTATGCTAATGTTTTTAGTCCACACACACAAAAAGCACACCTTTAAATGTTGGCCTTTGCACCGGATTGTGATCCCAGCCCCTCTTCATGAGCTGAAGGATCTCTACAGGCGTATCTTCTGGAACAAGGTTCACTGCAGGTCGGTCCCCGTTACGGACGCACTGGCTGATGTGTTCTTCACTCCTTGCATCTAGAAACATATCATTTACTTTAAGGGTTCTGACAATAACCAGGCAGTTGATGTCTTACAAACAGAGCCTCAACGTTTATTATTCATTCGAGCATTATTTGGCATCCCAACTCACTTGCATACGGCTCCTCCCCTGTGACGATGACCCAAACTACGATTGCAAAGCTGTAGACGTCAGACTTCTCAGTGGAGACTGTGTGTATACTCTCCAAGTGCTCAGGGGCCATGTAGCTCAGTGTCCCAGCGCCTCTCGTCCCTGCTGAGCGTGCTTTACGACTCCTTCTGCTGGACTCCTCCTTTGTGAGTTTGCTCCATGTCAGGCAGGTGGCCAGGCCAAGGTCTGCAATCTATGAAACAAAGAAAAAAGACATTTGGGATTACCGTAAATGTACATGCTTGCTGTCAGAATCACAAATAGGACCGAGTTTGTGATATACCTTGATGTGAAAATCCTTGTCAACTAAAATGTTTTCCGGCTTGATGTCCTTGTGTATGACGTGTCTCTCTGTCAGGTAAATCATCCCTTCCAAAACCTCTAAGATGATTCTGCACTTGATGGATAGTGGCACGGAGACCTGGGAATAATTAAGTGCTTTTATAATTCAAGTCATATATAAAAAAAAAGTTAAGCCTGCCAACTATGGATGGAATCTGCTCACCGTCTCTAGCATGACCGACAGATTGCCTCTGGGGAGGAGTTCCATTACTAGCGAGCAGTCTCTTTCTTCCATGATCACACCCAGCAGCTTCACCACTCGTTCATGGTTCAGGCTGGCCATGATGTTCCCCTCCTCCAGCAGCGACTTTTTATTCTCCCTGGAAAGTACAGTATTAGTAAAAAATAGTAAGAACCAGATATCCGCTTGACAAGAGGCAACTCCATTTGTTGTGCAAAATAAATTAATTCCAATATATTGTCATCATGCAGACAGTGAAATACAGATTTAAATTGAGTAGGTATCACTATTTGGAGATATTACGTTTCATTTATGCATACCTTGCTATAAATAACAGTAAAATCAGAATCTGAAATGCCCTTTTAAGAAATCCAATTATATGGCTACAATACAAATATAATTTAGTAGATGTTTTTTAAAAGAAGGACTGTGAATGTAAATCAACACAGAATTTGGTATTAAGGCATTTTGTCTGAAAAAAACGGATGTTGGACCTAGACTACATCCGCATTTCAAGTATTTTTATTTTTTCCTATAAAAAAGGAAGTTCGAAAATCTGAGCTTCTTCATTATGCACAATCTGGGTAGGCCAATACAGTTTGTCTGGGATTACACAATATTTTACACAGGCAACATTCTGCCATCTGTATCTAAGGACATAATGCAATTATGCTGTCAAAAACATTATCAGTCCACTACATGTTGTAGAGAGCCTGACTGGGCACATGATGCATGTTACCATTGAAGCAAGGGGGAATACCCAGCAGACCAACACTGCATTCAGTAACACAGAACTTACTCGTTGCGAATAGGGCCTGTATACATGGTCTTCAACACCACCTGGCCGAGGGTTACATGGTAGCACAGGTAAACGTCTCCAAACCCTCCATAGTCCAGGGCCTCTTTTCTGATCAGATCAGCCGATCTCATTTGAAAAGAAGACTGTGGCGCGGTGGCCATCCCTGGTAAAATAGCACAATAAAACAGCTGAACGACACAAGAAAAAAAGCACAACAAAGCATAACACATTTCTAAATTGCAGAATAAAGAAATGTTTCATGGGGAGAAACGGGAAGTCTGACGCGGTGACTCAACCATCCATAACGATCATAACACTATGACAGGCTGAAGTTAAAAGGTAACGCGTAAAGTTATCCGACAGTTTGAGCAAAAATAACTTAACCGTCGAAATGTTTACCAAACTCTTCACCCGACGAACAACATTATACACCACATCCGCTATTAATATAAACAAAATATGGAGAAAAACCCACCGAAAAAGAGCTGGACAAGCTAAGCAACGCTGGGGCACTTGTAGTTCCGGGATTTCCGCGACGTCCTCGCTAGAAGCGAAACTCTTTGGACATAAAAAACTACAAACAGGCTACAAAGTCGATACCAGATCAGGACGACCAACAAACTCAGATAGATATTCATGTGTACAAAATACAAACCAAAAAAGCACCGAAACACCCTATGAAAACCATACAGTAATGAAAACTAAAATGCAGGAGACAATGTTAAGTTATTTATCTCAGACTTTGCTCATTACAAGTAATTTTTTGAGATACAAATTCCTCGAGCCCCATTGTAAATATTGTTGCATGGCAAAGTCGCCACCTACTGGTAAAATTAATTATCGCAGACTAAACCACCTTGCATTTCCCTGTAACAGTAGCTTTTCAATAGATTTGATGTTGTTACCACACTGATCTACCTGTGTTTTTACCTCCATACAATGACCAGCTGTATCAAAACACCATTTGTCATCTAAGAGAGCAAAGCTTTACCAGAACCAATAAGGAAGAGAAATATAATTTTGAATGCAAAATGTCACAGCAGCCAAGCTAAAAATGCCCTAGCTTTATGCATAAAAACAAATAAACAAGTTCATTGATAAAACTCATGTTTATGTGAAATTGAAGCAGGAAACCACTTTAATTGTAACCCCTTCCAGCGTAGGCGATGTATGACATGAAGGCCTGCATCTTGGGCAGCCTATCTGTGAACGCCCACACTATAAATTCCTCCTGTTGCACACTAAAACCACCACAAAGCAGTTTCATATTTACCTGTATTGTAGTGTCACGTTTTTCTGAGCAACAGAATCATTCATGTTTATTGCTGGTAATCTTCAGCTAATTTAGAAAAGTATTCTGCTGTGCAGTGTATCGACCTTTGTGATTAATTAACAGAAAAGTCAGTGCATTTAACATTCTGATTTGTGTGGAAACTCCAAGTTGTTTAATAAATGGCTATAGGACTAATTTTGTTAAGGTCGTATTATCAGTCAGATTTTCCAATAATTCTTTACAGAAGTCCATGCAATAAAACAACTTTATTATCAACAGCACACATGATTTCAGTTATTCAACTATGAGATTATGGCTATTTTAGACAAATAGAGACCAGAATAACAGTATGATTGATATGGAGGCGAAATGTATCAGCATTGAGTGGACTGATATCCAGCCCACTTAATATTTTCCAGCTCCAATCATGGTACAAGAGGCAATTGCGCATGTGGAGCAGTGTTTAGTAGGCAGACACCTTCTTTTATAGTCTGGTGGTCACACACTGCCCAGCATAGCAACAACAGATCACCAGGAAGTTAAACCACTGTCGCCTGCGGTGTCAACGTGCTGTCACGGTGCTGTCAATGTGGGGCAGTGGGTAGCATTACTTCCTGTTGATGTTTTAACGTGTTTATAATCAGTACAGAACAGCTGCCATCATTTCTCTGTTAATAGCACTCCTGAAGTTACCCATGCTGTTGATTGCTTCTTAATTTATCTTATTGTGGATTGAGGTGATGAGTCACCAGAGTTGATAATGTGCTACAATAAAATAAGATAGATAACATAAGATAGTACTTTATTGATCCTAATTTGGGAAATGTTTTTGTTGCAGCAGCATAAAAAAAGACATGGCATTGATCTGTAAACACAGCTGTTATCAATACATTTTATTATTATCCAACTCTTTTGAACCTGTCACAGCCATTCGAGTGAGTCAACATCATGGATGTATTAAGAAAAAGGCTGCCATGTACAATGCTAGGCAGGGCCGCCCCTGGCCAACTTGTGGCCCCATGCGCAAAGTTATATGATTAGGCCCTCTGTGTCTCGAGCGTCGACGGGGTGATGCTAGTGGAGCCTCGCAGCGGCGAAACTGTGGCGCGCTTAGACTGTATAGGCGCGCCTCTGCAAAATGAAGACCCTCTGCAAGATGAGGCCTCCTCCGCGAGGTGAGGCCACACATAGTCTGTGTGATCGGCCTGTAGGGAGGGGTGGCCCCTGATGCGAGGTTTCGGATTGCCTTAATGGAACAGGGCCAACATTAATGCTAAATAATAGCACAGGTGTTTACACTGCAATTACAAAATGTGTACTGTGAAATGAGGCTTTACTGTAATGGTTATTAGGGGGCTTTTTTGTTTTGTTTTTGGTGGCAAAGTGAATATCATGTTTCTAAGGAGCTGGCACTGGCCTGCTGCCATAAAGGTCTTAGATTGCCTGCCATTTTTCAGGAGAGATTAATGGTTCAATCTTCCTATCCTGTGTATCCCTGAACGTTGCTGTCCTTTTATCAGAAAACTACAGTTCCCAGAATTCAACGCGTGTAGCTTGGGAAGCAGTGCTCTGCTTTGCTCGGAAACGGAGCTACTGTATTTGTACCACTACAGTGGGTTTGGGAAGCCGTCAAGCCGCTGGATAAGCATTTTTAAACAACGAGGAAACACAGCGTGGCATTTCTTTTCAATTAGACGATCTTTCAGCATGGGGAATGGCATCAATAAGGTACGACTCTCATCTGTTGCAAGCGACTGGCGCTGAGTTCATATACAAGTATTCCTCAGTGTTTTTGAGAGTAATTAAGGCGATTTCATTTTACCATAAAGTCTTTGAGATGTTCATGGAAAAAAAAGTTGCGTAGGCCTATATTAGATTGGCATGATTTAATAAGAAATGACGTATTTTTAAATCAATATAACATTGATTGCTTTATTACTTAAAGTGGTGAATATTTAACATAATGGGGATTATTTTACTGATATTGTGGTAAAATAATCTCGTCAAAAGCTCTGAAAATTTCGATTTCTAATTATCACTTCATATTTTCAGGGTGTCATTTGAGTCAGCTGTTTCAAATTCCCTGCAGCTGCTGCACCTTCTCACTATGATGCTTTGACCATGTCTGATTCTGAACTTGATCTCTGTCCTTCTATACTGTAGGTCCTGCCTGACTTGTACTTGGGGAATTTCAAAGGTGTGTCTAATAGTTTTTTTGAACCGTTTTATCTTCGTTATGACCCCCCATACCAATTGTATGTGATTGTGTTGTTATTTCTTTGTGTCAGATGCCAGAGACCGAGAACAGTTAGCCAGAAACAACATCACACACATCCTGTCAATTCATGACAGTGCAGCTCCCATCCTCCAGGTGAGAAGCTCATCTACTTGTTATACATCTACTGTAACACCTTGTTCCCTTAGTTTGCATCTATATTTCTCATTAATCTCTTAAACAGAGTGATACATCAAATGAGGAGGAACAGATCTGATGGGCTGAGCCCCCTCTTGGTGAATTAGTACAGTGAACATGATAAGAGAACTCATTGTCCATAAACCAGTCTGTCAGGTTGGTAAGGAAAATGTTCTGTTCTTGAGCAAACAGTTGTCAGTCCCGAGTGAGTGAGTAAACAGTAAGAAGGAGTTTCATACTCATGTGATGGTTGAAGTATCAGGAAAAATGCCAGTCAACAACAGTTGGTTGGGTCAATGTGCTGATTTGTGTGCCTGCGTGGGTTTAAGAGTAGGCGTTTGTTTTTGCTTCAGCCACTGTGGATTGTGCTGTTTCGCTTCATTATTTTTTCTATGTAATGGATTTTGAGTAGGTTTGCAAAAAACTGCAAATACATAAGAAGCTTCAGTTAAGGGCTGGTGCGATAAGAAAATTAAGTATCACACAATTTTCTATTATACTATTATTTGAATACATTTATTAATAGCTAAGCATGAATAATGTGGATATTTATTTCCCAAATAAAAAGCACAGCCTGTGCTCACCACATAGCCTTCAGTGATATTTATCACCAGCTGTTTGTTATTCTGTGTTAAAATTCATCAGAGTAAGGGACTGCTGATGGGTAACTATAATACTTTTTTCCCTCAGGAGATGACCTATCTATGCATTTCAGCAGCTGACTTGCCCACACAAAACCTGTAAGTACCAACATGTGCAGCACAGCAACAAGGCACAGAACAATGACGGGCTGAGGCAGAGAGAGAGTACAGCATGCATTTGAGGCTGCACTGTGTGGGTGTCTGAGGTTCATTTCTTTCAACCTAACGTGTAAATGATATGCTTCCACAAGCTTAACATTAAACTAGACTTAGTCTCTAAACTAGAACACAGCTGGATTCAGCTCTTTGGTGCATGGTTGTTGTTGTTTTTTAATTGACATGAGGACATGACATTCCCAAATGCATGCTATGAAAAATCAAGGGTGGTGCATGTATCACAAAATGCTACCCTGATTTAGACACACATGCCAACACAGATCTTCTATGGCCAAATTCACATATCAGACGGTCTTTCAGCAGGAAGGAAGTCCAACAGCTCAGTTCTGCAGCGCTGTGTCTCTATTTATACCACTTGCACATGCACATATTTATACACACGTACTGTATGCACGCCGATGCCCTTGTCACCCTTACTACCCCCGTTGCCTAATACCTCTTACATTCACACTGCGAGGTGTTTGAAACCTGTTGTGCGAAATATGACACAGACTTTTTCAAACCTGATATGAACACACCCCCATCCTGAACCATCCAGGATAAGACATAAAAAGGGTTTGACAAGTCAGGTGCAAAAAATACTACTGGTATGTAAGAATAACTGTTAAGCAATCCACCTTTAGTCACCGCTCTCAATAGTAGTTCTTGCTGTGATCTCATAATGATTTATTATGTTAACATACTTTATTTGCTTCACAGGACTCAGCACTTTAAGCAAAGTATAATGTTCATGCACGAGTCCCGCCTGAAAGGAGAAGGCTGCCTCGTTCACTGGTGAGATTAAGACAGCTTGTTATATCTATACTTCAAAGATTGATTCAAAGTTCACTCACAGGAAAGAGATGCTACCCAAAAGCTGAAACAGATTAACCAAGTACACAAGTTAACTCATGTGTAACTGCTGCACAGAGGGGATTAAATGATAAGCAAAAGCCTATTCTTGAACTTCCCGAAACAGAGTACAGTAACAAGGCTGGCCACATTGTGTTTGTGTACTGGGGTAGCTGACCATATGTTCACAGGGGAAAGTTATATTTGGTTAGACTGATGGTCTTCTCAGAAATACAGGGGAACAAGAGGCTACAGTATTTATAAACATCTGCATGTTACCGTTGATTTTACTATATTATTAATTGAGTTAATACTTTATATTTCTTTAAGATGTTTAAAGTGTTCATCCAATCAGTTTCCACACCATATTTTACCACTCTGTCAATGCATTTTCTCTGTCTATCTGGCATCATCAGTAGTCTGGTTGATATTGCCTAATGTATATTTTAATCTGATATTTACTACTGTGACTCTACTGTGTATTTTACCCAATCCTATACAAGCTGGTTTAGTTCTAGTACTCATATAGTATATTTACATGTACATTAGCTGCCTAGTTTTTAACCAGCTGTAACCTACCTTAAGGGAATGTTTACATAAGTATTTCAGTTTTACAAAACCAGTAGGCTTATTGACAATTCCTCAAACCAGGATATGATATGTTACGTGCACAAAACATAGCCAGAATATAGAACAGTACCAAACCCAATCATGTCCAGGATGCTTATGTGCTTTTTACACACTTTACATATTCAAAAGAGATTACAGTTTGGGTTCATTTCATTATACTTATTGTCCATTCATCTATGCTTACAGTTTGGCAGGGGTGTCCCGCAGTGTCACCCTGGTGGTGGCTTATATCATGACGGTGACGGGACTGGGCTGGCAGGAGGCGCTGGCCGCAGTCAAGGTGGTCCGGCCCTGTGCTGGGCCCAACAGGGGCTTTCAGCACCAGCTCCGAGAGTTTGAGGCTACTCAAGCCAAACAGGTCAGTGCTAGGAACTGGAGAGAGTGCACCATCAGTGTCTTGCATTTCGTATGTTTCTTTTGCAAGCTGTTATTTTTTTCTGCAGTTCAGAGAATGGCTACAAAATGAATATAAGGACAACCCTTTCAATGATGAGGCCGATCTACGTGAGTTGCTTGCAAAGATGACTAAAGCTGATGGTGAGAGCGTAGAAAAAAAGGCCTCTACTCCACCTGGAGGTATCTGATCAGAAATGTTTGTGAGATATTTTGCCGCTCAGCCTGGAGGATTACACCACCATCTGAAGCTGCAGTACTCTTTACCTATCTGGAGAGCTAATATGCTTTAGAGAGGACTACTGACAGGAGGTTTATCGACGTTGGAGTAATCACTAAATATTATGAACACTCTAAGAGACAATTAACATGTTACAGCACATATTCATTTTTAGTATGGTTGATGTTTCTGGTGATATTGTTTTTTTAATTTATGAATGCTGTGTTTTTTGTACTGTGTCACGATAATTTCCAGTTGAGAAAAATAAAAGGGGTACACTAAAACGCTGTGGTGGGTTGTCATATCAAAGGTGATAAGAACACATTGTGTTGTGTTCACATCTCTGTTTCCTGGTTGTCTTCCTGTTTGTCTAATGTGCAAGGTAAGTCATGCATGGTGACATCCAAAACACCAAGAGCACATTCTGTAATCACATGATATTTTATGACTTACTTACTTGCTATAAAGCATTAAAAAAAACATACATTTCAGATTGATAAGATATTTGATAGTCTTTAAACTGTAGATAACTGCAGGTCATGCGCATTGATAGCCACTGGAGGGCAGTAATACTAATGTAGCCAAAAACTAATGTTCGGATTCAACCATGTGTCTTTTGACTTTGGTTGGTTCCTCATGCCTCAATTTAGTTTCCCCCGTATAACAGGAAAAAAAACGAATCAACAGTTCACTGGAAATTAGACTGCACGTGTAGGCTTTTGGTAAAACAAAAAACACGTGGGGGAAATATTTTGCATTGGAAAAATTATGTACAGGTAACTGTTCCACTTGGTCCTGGTGTCTGCTCACGGTTTCAGAGGGATTCCCCACCGCAGTGCGTTGGCGCTAAGTTTCACAGAAATGAGCGCCTGATTACTGCGCATCTCCTCTTCAACTTCACAGAGACCGAGAGGCCCCTCCCTTTGAAAAATCAAGATGTGAGAACATTTAAGAACAGTAAACCGAGACCTTAATAACAGATTTCAGCGGGGAGAGTTCGCATGATCAACGGTAAGCTGCAGAAGCTCCTTTTTTAAATGATTTTCAACATTGTTATTCATTACATTTGTATTGAACCAATGAACCCCAGCAAATTCAGTGAGGATAAAATGCTTGATCTCAATCACCTCTGTAGCATCAAGTTTGCTAGTTCTAATCTAATGATACCATTGTTTTGTTATTGAATTTAGAAGGTGTGTAAGTTAAATAAATCTTGAAATACATTTAAGAAATACCAAAAGTTCAACTGAACTGTTCACATGAAGTCATAGTGATCAAATGTATTATTAGCATAGCCTATACAGTACAGTGGTGGAAGAAGAACTCACATGTTTTACTTAAGTAAAAGTAGTACTACCAGATTATATTACATTAAAGTACATAAGTATTATAATCAAAATATACTTAAATTACCAAAATTAAAAGTAACCCATTTTAGGGGGGGGGGGGAGACAAATATTATATCACTGGATTCTAATTAGTGATCAATTTATGGAAAACAATTGTAATGTTGCAGCTGGTAAAGGTGGAGATACCCTCAACGTCCTTATTATATCCTTATTTATGATAGTACGTCATAATTCACAAGTCAATTTAATCTTTGTAATACAAATATGAACCTACAAAGTAACTAATCTCTGTAAATATTACAATATTTTCTTCAAAATGTGGAGTAAAGGTTCAAAGTATACAAAGTATTTTCACATTGAATTTGAGTAAATTACAAGCACCTGGATAATGCAATTAAGTATATGTACTACTATATTAAAACATGCATATATATATTGCATCATGTATAATGGCAGTTGTCTTAAAACTCTGCTATAATTTAATTATAGCTACGCTAAAGTACGTTTGTTTCTAGTCATACATGTCTTAAATTAGTCAGTTATTTTTCTCTCACAGATATGTAGGTGCTAAACCTGAAGTAGACTTCCCACATGGACCTCTACTGTCATATCCTTTCTTTTTAAAAATCAGTATGGCCAAAAGAATCCAAAGCATGGCTAGTTAAAATTCATTCAAATTGATTGCTAATATTGCAGCTATAGGGCTGCGGAGGGGAAGTGCTAACTAACACTAACATCTCTTTTATCTCTAAAAGTATTTTAATTGAAAAATCATTTTAGCTACAGTAGAAATTATACTAATGAAACTTGTACTGTTTTATGATAAACCAAAAATCTCGTCAATCTTAGATTCTCAGATTAATTTAAAGAAACACTTTACATTACAACAAGTATAATTATAACTGCATCACTTTACTGGGCCTACTCTTCAGTTAGACGCTATATTTTGTTCTTTATTTTTGCAGAGATGAACCTGGACGAGGACAGTGGCTTGACAGTCAGCTGTGGCAACGGCAAACTGAGACAGTGGCTGATAGATCAGATTGACAGCAGACTCTATGGTGGCCTGGTCTGGGAAAATGAGGAAAAAAGTATCTTTAGGATTCCGTGGAAACATGCAGGAAAACAAGACTATAACAGAGACGAGGATGCTGCTCTCTTCAAGGTCAGACCATCCTACCTTTCCTCTCACACTGCACCTGATGCCTCCAACTGTTGCATTTAAACACATATATAGATTTTGTGTTAATGCAAAAAACAATTCCTCAGAAGGCCAACTTAAAAAAAGTGTTGGTACTTCAGTCATGTCTATGTTAGAAGAGGCACTATATATTAATCTGCTAAATGATTGTTTCAGGCATGGGCATTGTTTAAGGGAAAATATAAGGAAGGAGTCGACAAGCCAGACCCCCCCACATGGAAAACAAGACTACGCTGTGCTCTTAATAAAAGCAATGACTTTGATGAGTTAGTGCAAAGAAGCCAACTGGACATCACAGACCCCTATAAAGTCTACAGAATAATTCCAGAGGCAGCCAAAAGAGGTACGTGCATGCAGACATCATCTATCTAACATACAGTGTAGTTTGTGAGAAACACACTCAGCCACCAATGCATGTGGTGACAGATGTTTCAAGATAAGTAAAATAGTTTATGCTTAGAATTTGATAACAGACTGTAAAATGTAAAGCTGTTCCATAGCTATGGTTTGTTTGATTACATTACACGACACTCCTGCATTTCACATAGCATCTAACTTTATTCACATACTATTGGCCACATTTCACATATGCACCTCTGCAGTTGTGTCTGATGAGGCAGGAAGCACAAAGGAAGCCAAAGCATGTACCAAAGAGGCCGTAGTGCTTTTTTTAGAGGGCTTCGGTTACTAAGCGCAGGGTGCACATAACACAACCAGGCGAACTCCAGCCTTGCATAACCAAGTGTCTGCCATCATACAACAGTTTTTGTCACACCCGAGCAGTTCTTGCTCTCTGAGCTAGCAAATCGAAATCAACAGGATTTAGTCAGTTGTCAGTTGGAATTACTTAAATTGAAATACAGGACCTCACAAGTGCTCTAAGCATCATATATACTATATACTTATTCTTTAATATAAAACTGTGTTATGATCCTTGATAATTGTCAAATATGTTAGTACTTATTTTTTTTGGAGGATGGTAGAAGCACTGCTTTCGTAGCAAATATTGAAGACCAATTATCAGATTTTTTTTTACTGCTTTTGTACATCCACAGGTATGAAGATGAGTATGGAGGAGACACCATCACATGCAAATTCCCTTGGCTATGTTCCTCCTTATACGTCTCTGCAGAACCAGGTCAGCAGATTGTTTTGTGGCTTCTGCATGCTATAGACTGGTCCATGCACATACAATTAATCCTCAGTGTTCTGATTGCAAATGTCTTGGTTTAATAAAGTCTTTCCGGAGTGACCGTCCATGTGGTTCCTTCTCAGGTATCTGGTTATATGGTTTCTCAGGAGAGAAGGGACTGGAGGGATTACTCACCCCCAGAACAACAACCGCTTCCTCCTCCACATCATCACGGGCCACATGCAGAGCTGCAGTATGGTTCGAGCCACTACCCGTCAGCGTTCAGCCGGGCTTGGCCGGGGTCACACACAGATAACGGTATGATGTGGCCAGGATTATAAAACTACTGAATATATAGATGGAATTGTTGACCATCTATGTGAGTGTGACTCTAATAACTAGCAGATGTGGTGAAATTCCTTTCTTGCATTTAATTTGGTGTACAAGACAGCTATATCTAACATTGTGTAATGCTTTAACAGGTAAAAAGGTTTTATTAGTGACTTGTAGGTAATCCAGTGTTTTAAAATGTCTGCGATTTAAATAAGACCTTCATTCCTGCAAATAAGTGTCGCAGTGGCTGTTGACAGCTACTACTCTAATTATGACCAGTGTTTTTTTGTTTATACTGCACAGGTTTTCAGCTCTCCTTCCACACCTACCTGTCAGAGTCTCAACTGCCTTTGTATTCATTCGACCAAAGTAATTCCATAACAGGTATGAATCATCCTGCACTCATTTAACATACAGTATATGTGTGGACGTATTCAGAAAGACATTTACCCATGAGCTTGTTTACTATTTAAAAGATATTTGCATTTACAGAAAAAAAACCTCAAAAACATTGTTAAATCCGTTCTTACTTTCCCATTCTAAACTCATGATACTGAATATTTTTTTTTTTTCTTGAAAGGGGTGGAAATATTATTGTAAGAGAAGTGAGTGGTTCTCTGCATGCCAACAATACTGAGAAAACAGTTGTATTCTATTTACGCTTGACATTTCAGACCCCCAATATGTTCAGGCTGTGAGTTGTTGGGTTTTTGTTGGTATATCGATTAAACGTTCCTCTCTTTCTTCCAGATTTCAGCCTGCATGTGTCCTTATACTACAGAGAGTCTATGGTGAAGGAGGTTACCACCACCAGCCCAGAAGGATGTCGGATCACCTCTTCTTCTTCCTCCTCCTCTCCATCATCTTCCTCCTCTTCTTCCCCAAGCTCAGAGGACAAGCTTCACAGCGGGGCGGAAACCATCCTCTTTCCATTCCCGTACCCCGAGTCTCAGAGGCAGGGGGCTGACATGCTTCCTATCGTACTGGAGAAGGGTGTGCTTTTGTGGATGACGGCTGATGGGTTATATGCTAATCGCCTCTGCCAGGGACGAGTGTACTGGGAGGGACCCATGGCTCCATATATGGATAAACCCAACAAGCTGGAGAAGGAGCAGCCATGCAAACTGTTTGACACCCAGCAATTTCTCATTGGTAAGCACTCATTTTGTTCCGATTTTTGACTAGCCCGACACCACATTCTCCTCAAAGGAAGCATCATATGACAGCCTCTATTCATTGAAAATATAAATATAATAGATTAAAATTGTAAATAATAGTCTTATATTTGTAATTGTTCCTAAAGTTGATCTTATCTTATTTTATTAAATGTATGTCTTCTTCTCTGAAGAAATATCTTTAATTAAAAAGTATTACCATGTAAGCAGCAATTTAAAGTATTTTATATACAGTTAGGTAGTTTGATTTTACAGCCATGTTTAATTCCATGATCAAATGTTGTGTATATAACATTTGAATATGTACAGTTGTAACTTAAGCTGTCTGATAAATACACTAAAAAGCAAAGATTTCCTCAATAAAGGGATTCTAGTAACACATAAGTGACTTAAAATTCTACTAAAGTACATAAATTAATTAAATGTATTTTCAGTACAGGTATTCAATAAATATATTTCTTATCCAATGGACTAGATGCTATTTAAAAAACAGAGTTTATGGATTTGTCATTTACTGCTAGTTTAACTTCAACATTTACAGTATTATGATGGTTGTGGTCATGTTGAAGATTGCTGTGTTGTGAATGATAAAATAATAAGGGAGAGGCCGCAGGTTCTTACGCTGTGTAAGTACCTCACAGAAGTAGCTCTAAATGATCAAGTCACATTCTTTACAGGGGGCCAAACTGTGTGGAGTCCCCACCCACCTCCTGTGGTCCACCACACTCTGTGACAAAATAGTATTTTGTGTGACGTTTCACAAGGAAATTTCCATCATCCACATCAGTAGTTTCCAGAAAATCCCCATGATAAGGGAAAGTGTGCTGCAATTTGGGGATTTGAATTCTTAGTTTACTGTTATTTTTAATGTGAAGTCCTGGAGTGTGTTTTTGTGTTAAAAGCACTCATTCATTGCTCTGTTTCTTTCAGAGCTCCAAGAATTTGTCCATAATGGCCGACATGTACCAAGATATCAGGTGGTGTTATGTTTTGGAGACGAGTACCCCGACCCACAGCGCCAGAGGAAGATGATCACAGCACAGGTAACCATAAACTACAGAGCTTTACCTTGTAATTCAAAGCATTTATTTAAAGCATGGTAGCTTTTAATTAGTGTTGTTATTATTAATAATGGCTATTCCATAATTGGTTTTAGGTAGTTTGCATTAGTGAGGCTATTTTATGGAATGACAGACCTCAGTATTCTCTTACTAACACAACATTCCAGTACACTTTATGTGTACTTGAATTTGACCTTTTGTTAAGTAACTTGTGTAATATTTGTGAGAACACCTTTTTAAATGTGCTCTTACCGAGTTTACGGAACTTAAAATAAGGCCAAATAGCGATAATGTGCAGCGAGGCGGTCATTATTGTAAAAACAACACCTGAGGGTGAGCCTGACATGAAGCCTGAAATTAAAATGCTAGCTGTCAGATAGCATGGCTAGCCTTAGCAGAAACTAAAGCTAAATGTCCTTAACAGTTTCCACTTGCTGTTATCTTTAATTGAAAATAACATCAATATGAAATGACGTAAGTAATTCAGTTATTTGTTGCCATACTACTAAAGAGGCAGTTGCTAAATGCAGTCACATATATGTCATACACATACCTTGTTTTATTTTAGGTGGAGCCAGTGTTTGCCAAAAAACTGGTGCACTATTACCAGCAGAACAATGGCCACTACCTGCGGGCTTTTGATCACATCCAGGAACAGAATACATCTCTAACCGTCGACTATCCTTCCCAGAGACCCCTACAGCATATTCAGGAGTAACAATCAGACACTCTCTCACACACACACACACACACACACACACACACACACACACACACACACACACACACACACACACACACACACACACACACACACACACACACACACACACACACACACACACAGTAGGGTATAACTGTGAATGTATAGTTTACAATTTCTCACGCCTTATGACTGCAGAGTACTGTAGATAGTCGAAGCTGGCATTGTACTGAGGGGTAAAGATGGGGAAGACCCTGTTGTTTTCACTTGCACACCTAGCTTCGTAGCCTTTAAGTCTGTGACTGTGTAGTACTGGCTTTTTTTTCATTCTACAAGTATTATTGTGACAGTGAGAAGGATGCGGTTTGAGGGTGGGGGGTATGAGGGGAGCGAAGGGCGACTGAGACAGGAAGTACTAGCACAGGTGCACAGGAAGAATGGCCCCTAAGACAAACACTGATATGTCAAAGGGACACAGCAGAGCATGAATGAATATTTATTGCATCTTCACAGGTTTGACAATGTGTTTGTTGCACTCACACACTTAAGTGGAACAATCACAAACTCTGCCTTTTAAACTTAGTCAACACAGCTCTTTCTCTGATTCAAAACTTTTATCACATACAGTACAGTGCTTGCTGTGCGATTTACTTGAGTGAGCAAGTGAAAAGTCAACAATATAATTGCTTGGTCCTTGGTTAACCTGGAGTCTTGGTTCATTGTAAAGAAAAGAAGAAGTTTGATTAAAAAAATGATGTTATCGCTGGTCTGGTGGTGTAGTAGACGAAGCTACTGGTGAAGCTACAACTTCTGCTGAATCTGGGTCACTTTTTAAAGATATCTGATTTTGTTAAATTAAACCAAACTGAACATCTACCACAAGGTGATCTCATAAGTCACCAGAAAACTTAGATTTTTATATTTCTATTTTTCTGCATAAAATCATGGCTATTCATTTTTCTCTATTCATTGATTTTTTTTTCTTGCTTTATCTTGTGAAATACTGCAAAAAAGGTGTCTGAAACAATCTTCTTTGAAAACCACATGTTGACTAAACCTCTTACACTTACGCAAACCTCTCAAAAGCTACAAAATAAAGGTTAAGTGACCACTGGCTTACCGAACACAACCAGAGAACCGCTTGGGCCTCAAGGTCCTTCTCCTCAGAGAGAGAGGGTGGCCTTGACCTGTCTGGACTGAAGGTGATTGACTGGAAACATCACACTCATCCTGTAACTTGCAAGAAACTGTACCTGTTCCTCTTGACCTGAAACTTAAGGCCTCACAAATGGGAAGAAAAACTACCTTTGTGGTGTGTGTGCAAGTTCAGCCAGAGAAGAGCTCTCTGGTTCCCATGCCTGCGGGTACTGTAGGACTTCTCATACTGGAGGTAACTGGTCCAAACAAAAGCTATTTTCATATCTTAACAACCTATGGAGGATTGTGTATTTATCATAGGACATAAACATCCAATAGTGAGAATAATGCAATCCCCTTTAGTGTTTTAAGTCCTGAAGGCTGATGTTGCAGCATAGGATAATGTTTTGTAATGTTTTTCTTCTGTGGGACAGAGTTTCGATCTCTAGATATACTTCCTTCACACTTAAACCACATCACTTTCACAATGGCAAAAGTCTGACCAAAATCACAGGCGGGAATGTTTTTCCTTTTGTGAGTGTTTGCCTAAACCATAAATCACTTACTGGTTGACATGTTGTTAACTATTACTTAACCAATTTAAAATCAAATCGTAATAGTAAAATTGTTACCAGCTTCATGTACAGTGTAATGTTGTGATAAACAGTGTGTGTTCAGGTGTGTGTAGTAAAGGGCAATGTGTGTGCATGTGTGTAGGTGGGCTCATGTGTGTGTCACACAGTTGCATATTACTGTTATCAGGAACTGACATTTATGGACTCAGGATAAAAACATGTAACTCCCCCACCTACAACATCAGTGACTAACACGGTCATGCACACCCATTACACGTCACACTTAACAGTTAAAGTAAAACATTCAGGACAAGCTACACAGGAACTCACACAAAAAGTGCATACAGAAAGAAATTGTTAGAGCTTTTTGTACAACGTATCTGAAAAATCACAATGAAAAAAGAGTATAGGTATATTTTGAAATAAAATGATGAATTGTCTACTACTCATATCTTCTTTGATGTATTATCTTTAAAATCTCAATTTTCAAATGAGAGAAAAAAGACAAAAACAAAAAAAGCACATTCACACTTTTACCATGGTGTTTCCCCCTCTGCAGGAAGCCACATCATTTGTAGTTAGGCTTCAGTTTTTCCGCCCGAATGAGCCGTTACTCCAAGCGACATCGGACAGCAGACATCTTAGTCAACTGATGCCCCAAAGTTCAGAAAAAAAAGGTTATTACGGAGAAATGAAACTACTGTACCATGAATGCAACATTTTCACTCAGTCACTATTTAACCAGACAGCTGCTTAATCTGTTTAGACAACTGGTGATACATCATACAAAATTATGTTGAACTTTATGCTTATTTTTTCCACTTTAAAAAAAGTCATATATCTATATCAACATATATCTTCACAAAAACCAGTGTTTATTTGATGTGTAAATCTTTTTTATTCTGTTATTGCTACTTTTCCTATCCATGGATTATTATGTTTTGGGAGTTTCACTGCTAATAATACGATATAGCGGCATTATCATGGATCACGGTATTAGTTGTTGATACTAATACATTAGTATGATTCTGTTGTGATTTTGAGCTACATATTCAGGAAGCATTTAGTAGGTTTGTGCATTTATTGTATGTTTATTTCATCTGACATCAATGCTCCGAGGCAATAAAGAAATGGGGGTGTATCACAATAAAACTGGAGCAATCTTTTGCTGACATCTGCTGGTAAGTGTAGAACAGATCAACAAATAGCTCAGAATCAGAGTTATGGCTAGATGAGACAATTTAGGACTAATGAGTATCTTAGAAAATGTGTGATACATCTTCAGACTTCTAATCATTGTTTAACCTTTGATGAGGAGTCTGGTTTGACTCTCTGTTGTTTTAAAGGATTACAAGTTGGAACCACTCTGATATATCTTGCTAAATCCTCAGTTTGATTGATTGATTGATAGATACATTTATTTCGAACAAGTAAAATAAATAATTACAAAACAAATGTTGCAGTGCATGCCAAGGCACACA